GCTCGACTGGTTCCGGAGCCTGACGGCGCTCGGTGAGTGCCCGCCGCTTGAACTTGTGGGAGCGGGAGGGAGGCCTGCAGGCCGGGACGCTGGGGCAAGCCCATCACAGAGGTCCTGTTCCCTCTGTGTCACCGGGAAGCGCTGTTTGGTACCTGGGCTTGAGCTTCGGGTGAGCCCACGGTCGCGTCTTAACTGTTGTGAGGGGTTACACTCGGCTCAGGCGAGCACCTTGGAGTTACGAGATGACAATAGTCCTAGTACTAATCCTTTGTCTTCTGGCCTCTCTTCGGGCAATGCCCGGTCCTAGATCCTAGCATGGAGCTGGTGCAGGACAATCCCTGTCTGATGGAGTTCATTGCCTCTGTGCTGGCGCTGCCAGAGCCCAGTCCGAGCATCCTCTCCTTCACCCTGCGGCTAGCTGGGATACTTGCCGCTTCCGAAAGCCGCTTCCAACACTTGCAGGTGAGTTGGCTACACAGGTACCTGCTGCCAAACATGTCTGTTTCCTCCTCCTATGTGGAGGACACCTAAAAATGCATGTAGTCTGCTTATAAAACTTCTGGCATGCATCAAACAACATAGCATAGAGTGATATGATAATGAAAGCCTACCATCACACTCTTCCTTTTCAGTTCTAACGTAAAGCTGCAGGCTTCTTACTTCTGTCTTGCCCCAGTAATACTATGAATATGAACACGTAGTGCTTCTCATTTTCACTTCAAAACAGTATATGGGATAACACTGTCTCACAGCAGTCATTGCAAAATGTATCCCTAGACAGATCTGGAACATATAAACTGCACTAACAGATGTAGTTTTCCCTCCATACTCAGTTGACGGGAAACCTCTATTCCCTGCAAAAATGAGGGAGTTGTTTAAAGCTCTGCTTTCTACATTTGTAGCATGAAACCTAAAATGCTTTCTTCAGGAAAGAGATGCATACAACTGCATAAACCACTTTAATGGAACTGATATATGTGTAAGTTGCCACTAGCACCTTAAAAACGAGCGATTTTTGTTTTGAACATCTCTTGCTTAGTCTATGAAAGAGATAAACGTTGAGTTTAAGCATGGGATTCTGAAAAAATACCTATTTTAGGGATACTTCTAGTGAGAAAAGATTTCACTAAAGTATTGATACTCTTGCCTTGGATGGCAGAGCAGCCTCTCCACTCCCCTTGAGCCCCTTTGCTTACTCTTTTCTCTGTGTTCTCCTCTGGCTTCCTCAGCAGGAGAAGCTGTTGGTCAGGCTCTTTGGTGGGGATGGGCCCCTCAGCAGCGCCGTGTGGGAAGATGCCTCCGTGCGAAGTGGCTGGGTGAACGGTGTGCACAGCATGATGCAGCACCAGCCTGCCCTCCGCTTCCTCTGCGATGGTGGTGAGTACTTCTAGGACTGGTAACTCCCCAAATCCTCTGTGTTGCTTCCATTCCAGTCTGTTGCTCAGATCTCGAATAAGAAAGACAGGAGTTTTCATTTATTTAAAATAAAAATGGGTCATTTGTAAAAAACCTGGAAGTCACTAAAACATGGTGGGGGGTTTGTTGAATTAGTTATGCATTTAATTTTTGTTATTTTCCCCTCAAAAAATGCTGAAGATGGTGCCCTTTTCAGAGAGCAAAGTGGCAAATCCTATGAAACACACAGTAAAAATAGCTTATTAAAAGCCCTTTGTATTCTTATTTGTAACTCTTACTGAAAGGTACATTTCACTATGATTTTAGTGCAGAAAAACTAACCAGGGGCTCCTTTATGTGTGCTTGCACACATTCATAGTCCCATTGTTGTTACACAGGTAAATTCTGCTGTTAACTTCAGAGCCCGTGTACAGAGGGGCCTAAAAGACTGGATTGGTATTAACATGCAGCATGTGCTCTGTCCACGTGATGGAAAAGCAGTGCTGTTGCTTCCATTGATGTTTTTCCTGCTTGTTGTGCCCAGAGAGAGTAGAGGTTCATTCCACAAATACAGAGTTGAGCGTGCTGTCAACTTGCTTAATGTTACTAATGTTAAAGCCCTGTTCTGTTCCTAAGTTATTAAAACACCAGAGAATATGAAAACAATTTTACTTTCTTTTTTGTTTGTTTGTCATTAAGGACTGGCTGACTTAGAAATGACATAGAGACTACAAAATAAAGTATAAGATCCTCCACCAACACTATTGAAAGCTGTGTGGTGCTTGAATTAGAATAATACATAGTTGGAGTGCCGCAATGCTCCACCTCACAATAAGAAGGCTGTTGTTTTTTCCTCCAGTGACTTGTTTTGTTTTCACACAGGAGGCATAGATGCGATCTTCACTCTGCAAGGGGATCCCAGCCTGTTTGTGGCTTCAGCTGCCAGTCAGCTTCTGGTGCACATGCTCACCCTGTCTGTAGAGTCTGAAACAACTAAACCTCTCACTACAAAGGACTGTGGCTGGCCAGCGTGTGCCCAAATGATTATAAAGCATATAGAAGATTCCCTTCAGTCCAGCTCTGCCTCTCACATTGAACAGTCATTAAAACTGTTAACTAGTTTGTTTGGCAGCTGTCATGCTCCGTGGACTGAAGTACTTTGGTTAGGGATAGCAAAGCAAATAGAATCCTTTCTGATGGAAGAGACTGTTCAAGTACAACACATGCTGGCAAATCTTTTGCTTAAAATGGCAAGGTAAAGATCTTCCTTCTGGGACCTTGGGTCCAGTGATGAGAGATATCTGTTTTCCACCATCTAATAGAACATTGCTTACACTTCTTTCTTCTCAGGTCCCCTGTGTTTGACACTGAAGGCAGTTTTTGGGCATTGGTGACTTCTGCTTTAGAACACTTAACCCCAGTACAAGCGGGTCCTTTGGCAGTGAGAATTCTGAGGCTCTACAAATGGTAGGACTTAACTGCAACAACTCTGGAAAATGTTTCTGTACTAGTATCTTTGGTGTCCTTCCAAGAACAGTATTTTTCCTCACTTCATTTTCCACTACATTCCTTAATATGTAAAAGTGGTTGGCAAGAACCATGCCAGTAGCTAACAAACTTCAGACACTGGTTGTAAGAATGATACAGTTTCAAAGGGAGACAAACGAAAGGAGCCAGTATCACATTTATGCGTATACAGTTGCATCTTACCTACAGTCAGCCAATTTTTTCCTGAAATAGGAAAATTCCTTAACTTCATACTGCCAAGGTTGACCAAGATGGACACAAATTGACTGCCTGTAAATGTGTTAGTCTCTCTTCCATTTTCTCTTTCACAAAAACACTGACTCATGTGAGAACTTCCACTGCTGTGCAGCAGAAGTGTGCATCTGGAGACTCTGTTGACAGTTGCAGGATAACTTAGAAGAAACCTGTAGAAGTGATCTAATTCAACCTCTTGCTCAGTGTAGGGCTAACTTCAAAGACAGATCAGGTTACTCAAGGCCTTTACCATTCAAATTTCAAATATCCCTGAGGCTGAGGATTCCACAGTATCTCTGGACAACATGTTCCAGTGCTTGACCACTTTCATTTCACTATGAAAAGTATTTTCTCTATATCCCAGTTAGAATCTACCCTCTTGCAACTGAAGATTCTTATCTTCATGTGTGCCTCTGAGAAGCCTGCCTCCATTTTCACTGTAATCCCCCTTTAGGGTGTAAAAAAGCATCAAGAAATCATCAGATGAATACAGCACATATGATTTACAGGCTAAATAACACCTGTGTTTTAAGATATAAGGACATCATTTTGTTGACAAGAAATGCTTCTCTCTGAATCCTCTTCTTAAACAGAATCCCACTCTGTTTGCATAGCTTGATAAGGCTGCTTCTGAATTCTAGAGCCATTTCTCTGCTTTCAGTTAGCCAGGGAAGCTTGAAAGAAATGCTTGAATTGTGATAATACTTCCATTGCTTTGTCATTGCTGGCTTGTTTAAAAGTCTGTGTGAAAAACATTATTCTGCTCAGCATTTGGGGACAGATGTTTGGGAAAGAATTGAAGTGTTCTTGGTTTGGTAACTGCTGTTTCCTCCTTCAAGCCCACAAGATGTGAGGATTCAGGCATTGACTGTTCTACTTCAGCCAATGGACTGTATTTTGAGAGCAGCCTCCCAGCCTCTGGAATACACAGGTATGGTTGTGATAAAACACTGGCAAGCACACTAGTGGCACACTAGCCACCTACTTTTCTAAGTGCAGCGCAGACAAAACTGGAGGAGGGAGAGTAGGAGTAGTCAAGGATAGTAGCAGTGATTGTGGTAAAGCGCAGCATCCTACTAACAGTTGAATTTGGAAGGATATTCATAGTACATCACCTGAGTGTCTTAATTAACTTTAAAAGTCACAGTCCTTTGTATTCACTTACAACCCAAGCTCTTCCCTTCTTTCATCCTCTAGGTTTGTTGGATGAGTCTGTTAGTGATCCCATCACTGTTGAAAGTCTTCTGTCCTCCAAGTCGTCTTGTGCTAGTCTCCTGTGTCAGACCCTTGCTCATCTGAAGGAGCTGCTGTCTCTGGTAACATTCAGAGAAGGAAAAAAGCCTGGGTATCAAATTGGTCCTTGAAAGACAGCATTAACGTTGGTTGCAGAGTTTTGCAGTAGAGGGACTGCCCTTAGTTTAAAATCCATCTTCACAAGCTTTGTTACCATACTTCACTGCAATTACTGATCCAGTGGGCAAAAAAAACATGAATTGAACTGCTTTCCCGAGCAGTGAGAAGAATCTTCTTCCATCTGTGTCATAGCTCTTGGGAGAGAGCAAGATATTTGAGTTATTAGCATTGTGGTACCTTAAGAGCATACTAAAAATACCAATTTTTGCTGCCTCCTGAGCAAAACTTCTGCTCTGTATGCACACTTGAGACTTTTGCTGGAAACTTCTTTTCTTTTCTCCCATCCTATTAGATTGATTTGCCCATGGATTTACCCTGTACACCTTTGCTACGCTCTCTTATGACAATACTGCAATTCTGTAATGGCTTCCTGACCCCAGCATCTCCTCTGGGAAGCACAATAAGCCGAATCCTGATCAATAGCTTCAGAGTACAGAGGTCAGCTCTTGATGTCCTAGCAGCACTCTCAGAGCAAAAAGGTGAGTTGATCTTTACACCTGAAATGTCTTTATCTATTTTGTTTTACAAAACTTTACTTGACTATTCTGTAGTTGCAGAATTTTTCATTTCCCTGCACTGATCTTTCTGAATAAAGATCATAGAATCATTAGGGTTGGAAAGGTCCTTATGATCATCTAGTTCCAACCCCCTGCCATGGGCAGGACCACCACACACTAAAACATGTCACCCAAGACTCTGTCCAGCCTGGCCTTGAACAGTGCCAGGGATGATCACTTCCACCTCTGAAACTTGTTTTTTTCCAGTTCTTCCTACTGTCTTGGCTGAACTTTTTGTTCATGAGCTAGGGCAGGTAATGCTGTAATTAAAAAGGCTTTATACTGTAATTAAAAAGGCTTTAGTGGTTGTGAGAAATTGGATGTTTCTTCTCTACTCAGAGGACTGTACTTGCTTTCTTCTCCAAAACAGTTTTATAATCCTGTGGCTTTCTGTATTTCAGCAGCTGAATTGCAATTCAACTGCTCCTTCTCTGGGTATTAGTCCTTTAGTTTTGTTGTCTATGTTTCAGGCTGTGACACACTCATAGGAAGTCTATTTGATGTCCTTCTGGCATACCTGGAGAGTCCAAACACCAGCCCTACTGTGAGTATGGAACTATGGAGAGATCCAAGTCTTATTAGCTCGCCCCAGTGGGATGTGGTTCCAAGAAGCTGTCTAACAGTAGTTGTTTCTTAGTACAGTTTGTATTAGAATAAGTAGGAGACTTGGTTTTGGTTCTGCATGGCTTGCAGGAAATAGCTAAAATTCTAATGAGTGAGTAACTGACCAATACATTGAATGTTCTTGAACAGATGGGAGCCATCACATCCAAAAGTAGTGCCAACATACTCAACTTGACGTGTCCCTTAAGTACCGAATTCTTTGGATTAAGGAGTTTTGCTTTCTTGCTTTGTTTTTTCAAACAACTGATGACAACTGCAGATCAAACACTGGAGGTAGTAGAACTTCAGAACATTCAGCTGAGAACAGGCACTTTCTAGAAGTTACTTAGAAATGCTATAGAAGCACCATTTATTTGTGCCTTACTTCTTAGTAAAGAAGCATATGTACTTGTTTACGCTGAGAATTTCACTGTGAGATAAAGGCTAAAACAGATTTTATCTAACATAAAAGCAGTGATGCCTCCTGTAATGAAGTAAATCTGCTTTATATTGCTTCAGGTTCTAAAGAAAACATTTCAAGCTACAGCCAAGTGGTTGGTGCGCTTACAGGAAGTGTCCTGCTCTAACAGTCAGTGGCAACAAGCTGAGAAGATTTTGGAAGGTAAGAAAGCTATTCAAGTTGGGATAAACAGCAGCTAGTGGCATATGTGAAATCTGCTTTTGCTTACCTTTCCTGCCTAAAGCACTAAGATTCATTTGTTCACAATTATGTTGAATTTAGGTTTAGCTGCCCACATAGTGCTTTGAAGAACTCTGGGAGAAGCAGAGAGCAGCAACAAAAGGGATTGTGTCAGATTAAATGGTAGAGAGGTTGTAAAGCAATTGCTTCAGTAAAGCTTGTTGTCTTTCATGTCCATTCAAGCTTGTTATTTGGCTTTTACAGATGTGTTTCTGGTGCTGCAGAAGCGTTTGTGCAGTCCTTGCTGGGAAGTAAGAGACTCTTCTTTGGAGTTCCTCACTGTCCTGATTAAATGCTTGACAGGTAGGCATAGAGATTTAATGGTTCAGATTGGAGGGGTATTTATTTTAACCACTATGAAAGCCAGTCAGGCTGGTGAAGCATCCTCTGACCTGTATCTGGAGGACTAAGAAAAGAAAGAAGCTTCAAGAGTTTTACTCTTTTGATCATGATCGATATCTGACAAAAAGATGAATCAACTCATCCTACTTTTCTGCTGAATTCAAATTGCTGTGCCCTTCTTAACAGCAGTTTTGGTCAGTTAAACTGAGGGGTGTTGAGACAGTCAAGGCAGGCAACGATGCTTAATGGTTGATAATACTTGCCCATTTTTCCTGTTTGCTCTGCAGTAGAGTCTGCTCAGTTTCACTCAGCAGGCGGGGGGCTGGGCTTTAGGAGGCTAAAAGCCTCCATCTGCTTTGCATGCTTTAGATTAATTATCAATGCTTCCACTTCACTGGTAGCTCAGGCTTTGCAGCAGGTAGCACTAAGGCAATGTTAAGTCTCTTACAGTAGCTTTGTGATGTTGGGAAAGAGGGGGATGCTGTCAACTACTGTTGTCTCTAGAGCACAAGGGAAATATCCAGCACACTCAGCTGCTTTAGCAGTTTACACTGTAGCCCCTCTCAGTGCTGCAGTTAGTTACATTATTTTTCTTTGCCATATGCCTTGAGAACAAGAAAGGAAGACTATTTTTTCCACCTTTAAGGAAAGGTGCACATTTGATGAGGCTGAAACCATGTCCCTGCTTGCATGGAGAAAGTTTTTTCTTGCCAGTAAATTGATTTTTCCAAGTTCCAGTGTCTAGCAGGGCTTGTCTCAAAGTCACCAAGCTGCTGGAAAATGGGGAGCCTGACACAGAGCATCTGTGCTCTTGTGAGCAGCTGCCTGGTCTCTGCAATGGCTCAGCTCACTGGCAGCTGTCCCTGCAGTCAGTGGGCATCCTTGTATGACGCAAAGAACTGTTTGCATTGGAAACAGTTTCATGCTCTCAGAGAATAAAGCCTTGCTTCTTTGGATTGCTGTCTTGTTTACAGACCAGGATGAGTTCAGGCAGTCTCTCCTGTCTTCAGAGGTGCCAAGGCTTACAGAAAACCTTCTGGAGGATCCAGAAAGCTATGTGCGAGCAAGTGCTGTGACTGCTGTGGGACACTTGGCCTTCATTACTTACTTTGCTCCAGAGTCACCTGTCATAGGGAATCAGTGTAATAAAGAGGTATGATGACTTTGTGTAGCCCGCTGCAGAATTGAGCAGAACTACACATTAGCTTACTGCTGTACTACTTTATCTTCACAGGTTGTCTGCAGTCTCATGCAGGAAGATTTCACAGTTACGAAAAGACTGGGTTTTGTGCTGTTCTTGTTTCTTTTCACGTTCCTTCCTTCATTGTGCTTTCTCTTTGTCTTTCTACTTCTAGAACACTATAGCAAAGCTTCAGGAAATCCTGTCAACAGACCCAGAGGGCTTTCCTAGGAGGGCTGTGATCAGCATCTTCATCGAGTGGGTGCGACAAGGCTGCACAGGTCAGCTGGAAGACACAGAGCAGTTTGTCTCTAGAGTGATCCAAACAGTGGAGCATGACTTAGACTGGGAAGTCAGACTTGGTGGTTTGGAACTGGTTGACATTTTCTGTCATCATGCCTTTTGCCATTTTGGCCTTCCTAAATGCCCATATGCTCCTGTCTCATCTGTAGTCACTAGTTCCATTCACCAGAATAAGGTGCTGCAGATACTTTGCCAAGCAAACCTGTTCAGCTTTTTGTTTCGGTCTTTGTGTGACTGTGACCAACCAGTGGGTCAGAGAGCCTGTGATTTACTGCTTAACCTAAGGATTAATTTCTATCCAACTTCTACCCCGAGGGATTCACGAGAGACTGAAGATTCACCTGTAGGACATAGCATTGCCTGGTTACAAAGGACACTAAGGCAGGGTTCTCTGGCCAAGAACTTCCCCACAGATGGTGGTAATGGAGTGGATTTTCAAGATCCAGAGAGCATGTTGATAGCTTTGGGTACAATAGACTTAGAAGAGCTACGTGATGAGCTAAATAAAAGTAGTGACCATGTGGAGAAAAGCCCTCAGTCTCTCTTACAGGACATCCTTGCTACTGTGGGGACCATAGAGGAGAATGAAGCTGACTGTTACTGAAGATATCTTTTGCTCTGAGGGAGCAGTGCTTAAGCAGTTTTCTTCTGGAGGAGAACTTTTTGCTACCATGAGGTCTTTCTTCAGAGAGGATGGAAAGAAGCATTACACTGAATGGAGAAAAGGATTGTTTCATTAGCTGTTAAAGGGGCCAGAAAATCCTTGGTTTAATACTGATGTTAAAAAAGTGTAGTTTCCAATAAACTGTGATTTGTTTTTCAAGTAAGCACATGAAGAAACGCTTTTTTAAGTCCTACTTCTTTTAAGAAAGCACTGGGCCATGCCTACATAAGGAAACACTTAAAAAACAAAACAGTGACTGAAAACAAGTTATTGCAGGCTCCTTTTAGAGCCAGAGTAGCTAAAACTGATGAAGACTGGTTTTAAGGGACAGATGTTTTGACCTTGTCTATATCTCCATTGAAAAAGCAGAGTTCTTGGGTTCCCTGCTGCATTTTGAGGTCTAGGGCAGAAGATGGCACTTAAGGAGTCAAAAGCTGATCATCCTTAACATTACAAGCTTCCTTGCATAGATAACATAGTTGTTTGAGCTCAGCAGTGATACTAAAAAGCTGACCTCGTATTTAATTACAGCCAGAAACAAGTTCATTTTGCTGACATTTTCAAGTGGTCCTATCCTCTATTCCTAAAGAAATAGAATAGCTTCTAACTGGTAAGAGAAACTGTCACCTGCAGCTTTTTCATGATAAAATAGATCTATGCCTAGCTTTGGTAAACAATTAGAAAGCAGTGTTGCCATTCACACTATAGCTGCTGTTTTCCAATTGCCCATTTATTTTAAAACTAAGGGAATGCTGTAGTTTGCAACTTACGCCAATGTCTTGCCATGTGCTAAGAAGCTTTCTGAAACCTAGGGAAAAAGAATAAATAAAAAGGAGTACCTTTACCAGTAGGGCAAGCCACGCTGTATTCCTTTCCATCACTGTTACTAAGCATCCTTTATCCTTCTGCAGCCTATGCAGAGGCAGGAACACAACACTCATTTTTGGCTAATGGAGATAGCAGAACTTCCACAATCTCCTCCTTCAATATTATCCCTGCAGCAGTAGGGTAGGATGAGATGTAGTTTGAATTTCTTGCTGCTGAGGTTGAAGATTTACTCTATGCCTTTTAATGAAGTCAGCACACTTACCTAGCACACTGTGCACAGCTTTATGTGTGACAGAGCCCCTGGGTGTTGTAGCAGCAGCTGTTGTTAGCAGAAAGTAGCTCTGCTCCTGATACGCAGTTCTACCTGAGCAGGGTCAACACCTGGCAAAAGACAGAAGATATGAAGAATCAGGCCCTTTCCTGCCATTGCATTGTTCTCATAAATTCAAAGGGTTAGAGGGAGAGAAATGCTTTTAAAAGTGTGGACTGTTTGTGGAGTGTTCTAGCAATACTGTCTGGTGAAGGGATTATAGTTCCAAAACTAGCTTTATGTCTTGGCAATAGGTCAGATCATCAGAAAGGAGACAGCAGGTTGCTGGGTAAATGTCTTCCCCCTGTTCAGCACTAGAATTCAGGTGATTTCAGGGCTGTGCAGTTTAGGAGACTCCAAGGAATTATTTAAACATCAGCAAATTGAAAGGGTGACTTGTTACAGAAGGGAAACTCGCTGCTTCTTACCAGGGTCTCTTGACTCCCAGACCTACTAATTTTTAATAGAACTCTTTAATTAGCTGGGGTGATGGTGACATTGTTAAGTTTATACCTTTTGCCCATTTGCAGTCCAAAGTTTTACTTATACACAGATGCTTGCACACTAAAAATCAGATGTATAATGAACTAGGAGGGTTCCTTATCATTAGAAGAGGAATTAAGGACTCATTTCATCTTTCACTGAAAACAGGTCTCCACCTTTAGCAATTAGGTGACTCAGTGCTGATTCTGTAGTTCCCTCTCTTCTGAGCTCACTGCATTGCCTTACTTTGTTTCTCTGCTGCTCTAGTTACAGCAGAGTCTTACGAACACCAAGACGCTTGCACTGGCATCCTGCACCTGATAACTGGGAGAAACATGAATGGTCATGAACATCTGAGCAGCATGAGGAACAAATGCCAGGGACTAGAGAAGGATGATGAAGGCAAACTAAAAACCCCCATGATTCTTTCTATAGAGGACAATGGCAGTGGGATTTGAGCTGAAAAATCGGCTATCAAATTTGTAAACTCACACCAACAGCTACTAATGTGAATCATCCATCATGCTGGAATACCCTCTGTAGCATGCTCATCTTTGCACACTCGGGAGCTCAAACAAGCCCTACCCCATTTACACTGCTAACTCATTTTCAACCCACTTCTTACCCACCAAAGCTTTTTTTGCACCTCCACAAGATCCTTATCCCAGCCATGCAGCTTTCTGCTGGGTTGAGAATTTACACCATGTAGTATGTCTTGCCAAGGAGCTGTGAATGTGTGGTGCACCTAAGGGGGAGCTTTAATTCTCAAGGAGACAGTCCTAAGAAACTGCCTTGTTGCCCTTAAACACAGCCCGAGTGTTCACTTCAACAAGTGCTATTGCTACTTACCACTTCACAACGCGATGACAGCGCTCCTTCCACAAACTCTCCACATCCAGGTCGCCCCTGTCACACGCAGGACTCCAGTGACATGGAGAATGAGGTGAGATACCTGGCCTGCTGTTCTGGACCCAGGAGAAAGCTGAAAGCTGCCTTTTTGGGAGGGATGCCACATCATCAACGCTGTAGCTGTGCACAGCTCCTGCAGGAGGCGAGCACCACCGAGAGAGACTTCTCAACACACCCACCACCTGATTTCAGCAAATCAGGCTGGGGGCAGACGTGGGCCTCGTTTAATGCAACAGGCACCAAGGTGAGGACTGTCACTCGCTTTAATGTGGGCTGTGGTTAGCAGGCAGCAGCAATACAAGTGGTATCAATGCAGAACATCACCGACTAGAAGAATTTACGTCTCTGATGGCTGGTACTGTGAAAGAAGATTACAAAGCTCATTTTAGCTTTTTATCTGCACAAGGGCAATGTAAGTCCTGTTGTCTGATCTGTACACAGGTATGACATTCCTAGAGTTGCTTTCAACACATTTCAACAGAGCTCCGAAGAAAGGATTGAGTTCAGACTCAAACAGACCCAGGAGAAAATAAACATCTTTGGCTCAGCCCTACACTAGCAACAGCTCTATAAAAGCTGCCAAAACAACTGTTGTTAATTTTCTGTTTTAATACACTGGACATTTAAAATACAAAGAATATTCTTTGCCTAATTATACTAATTGCACAACTTAGTCAACAATGGGCCATAAGTGTCTAAGGCTGTTTCTTTAGCTTAGATATATGTCATTTGTGATTACAGATCAACTCATGCACATCTTTGCAATTTCTTTTGTTCATCTGTAATAAGGTTTGCTCTCCCTTTCAGTACATATTCATCAAGGCTTCTAAAACCCGCCATACGTTAGAGAGGAAACTCATCAACCAGCTTCGCTGCAGAAGTGATCAACAGTTTAGAATGGAAAAAGTTTATCACTAGCAGCACCTGTGGAGTCTGTGTCATTTCCCTCCTGGGCAGTGGTTTTTGTCCCCTGCTGAGAAATAAAGCACCACTTGAACACTGCCAGACTTCAGCCTGCGTCAGACGCTCTCCTCCACAGGCAGGACACATCTTGTCTATAACCTTGCAAGCCAGCACACAGAGAAATGGCAGAGCTTTCTTTCAAAGAGGCTGTGTGTCTGTCTGGACAAGGTGGAATAGAGCTGTATGTCACTGGCTTTGATGAAAGCATCCAGGGCTCTGCAAACGCACATCATGGGTACACTTAGAACTCATCCCCAGATGGAAGGGCGGATGAGCAGTCTGCATCAAGAGTCCCTGCAATTACACAACTGTTTCAGTTAAAGCAAAATGAAACTGAAGAAAACAGTATTTCCATCTGTAATGTCAATACCAAGTCTCTGCTTAGAGCACAGAAGCTTGATTGTGTTTATTTACCATAAACATATAACAGAGCTGTGAATATGTCTTTCAGATGGCTGTCTCCAAAACAAACCCATCCACACCAAATTACTCCCCAGCTCATTCTGCAGTTGCCCAGTTGTTAAACTCTGTGCAAGGGCAGGAGCGTGCTGTCTGCGACAGAGCGTGCACCCGCTGCTTTGAGACATTGCCCAATTAGACTGGAACAAAAGCAAAGTAAAACCACGACCTTAAAGAGCTCCTGCAGAGCATTAGGGCTTGAACTGCAGCAGGACTCCTTTTCAGTGCAAGATAGGTGAGAATTACCCTTAAAGGATAGATAACACTTCCAGTTTTCCCATTTAATTATTCCTTGGTCCTCCTATTTCCAGTTTCCACTGATCCCCTATTCCCTGAGCTTTCAGGCAGGGTCATTATAAAGGGAGCAGGGAGCTTGCACTGCTGGGCACAGGGACATTGAGGCCTGCCCCAGCTGGTCCCTCAACACCACCATGCTTACAGCTTTGGCCTCAAACCAGCTTCTGGGCTGGGCTGTGACCAGCATGAAGGAGCTGCAGAGCCAAGTCTGGCAAGTGGTGAATCCAGGCTTGGAACATGACTTGGCCCAGCCAAGCCATCTCCAGAACAAACCCTTATTAAGGTGCATTATCTATTACTCATGAAATCCTGGTTTAGCCCTTATGCAGGCTGAGCAGTGGCACAGGTGAGCCCTGGAGCCCATCACTCCCCAAGATAAACACCCTTGGTGGGACTGATCTTGTGATTACAACTCATTACGTGCCAACAACAGAAAAGCTGCAGTTAGAACACAAATGGCAGTGGTTGCTAAGTGACAGCATCCATGCAGGCTTGTCACAACCGCGAGACAAACGGCTGTGGCTGCACAGCGATCCCGCCTTGTCCCTGTAATAGAGGATAAAAATGCTGTTTTCATTACTGTCTAGTAACCTCAACTTTGACCCGTCAGGGTATTTCATGCCTTAGGTTCTGACAAAGAGCCCTGTGAAAACAAGGCTCTGAAATGAGTGGAAATGAGTTTGATTCAAAA